CGCACCAGTATTACTGATATCTCGTCTTTTAATTGAGCATCTCTCTTCTTATTTTACTTTATTTTTGTATAATTTTTTTTCTTCATAATTGTATATCATTAAAGTTATTTATTATTATTGCCTTATAATATGTTATCGGATTACAGTACAGCAGATTTGAGATGAATATACGTATAAATTTCCTGCAGGAGCAATGAGAGAGTAATTCGAGAGTGATGCTGTTATAGATATATCTCATTAAAAATAATACCGCAAATTATGTGTGTGTGTGTGTGTTTTGTGTGTGTTCTATATCTATGTAGGAAAGTTGTTCAATCTACAAGGACAACTTTACGGATAAGTTAATTGCCGTAACAGTGGCTTTGCTCGATGATGCGATTAATTCTGCGACAGCGTCGTCGATTACTCGATTAGCAGCTTCTCTTTGACGCCCCTCTCTCGACACGGTTTGTGATTATTGAATATTTAACGTTGACGCCTGTCCGACGTTTGACTTTACGTCGTAATCGTCGCGATGTTCGCGGTTGAACCGACCTCTTAGCCTTTGTCCTTTGTCCAGATTTGATATTATCGATCCTTCTGGAATACATACTCCGTAATATTCCATTTCGGATTCCGTTTGCAGTTTCTCATCGCTGTACCGATGTATTTAATCATAGAACAAATTTCACATTTAAATTAAGAGATTTAAATTTAGATGAACAAATCGCGAGCTTTCTCTTTATACAATTCTGTCTCATATCTTCTAAAGATATTATTTATATCACGAGAAATGTTTGTCTCGCGTCGCGTTAAGTCGAACCATCTTCATTTCGCTCACAGCAACGTAATTTTCGCAGTGATGTACATCTCAAAAGTGTGTTAATCTCGCGCGAATGATAAATTTACTCATCGCCACAGGGAACATGAATCGGCAGAGAGCGGCGATATGGTGTATGACGCGTATATGGTGCCAGAAGCATTGTGAATTTTTCCAGTACGAGGAAAAAACGGCCCGAGAAAGAGAGAGAGAGAAAGAGAGAGAGATATTAATGAATTTAGTTAACGAGCGCATTGCGGTTTCTCTGATCGCGCTATTATGAAATGGTATTATAATATGGTTGCCGGGGCCGTGGGCTTCCCGCTGGGCATAATAAAAATGGCTGCGTGACAAAAGAGCTAGAAATGGAATTGGATGGAATTTACGTGTTTCGTGATTTATTTGCAAAGCAAACATACGATCATACACAAAATGCAGTCGTGCAGTTCAGTTCCCACCTATTCGCACGATAATCAATAAATTAGTATTATTAATTGCGTGATAAGATATATAATTAAACGTATAATAATGAAGCGTACAATAGATGCCCGTGATTAATGTTCGCTGCCGGGACGTCGAATTACATGTTCTATTTTATTACGTATTCTATTCCATGTTTTAATTTATGCAATTGCATATTCTATTTTATTAGAAAAATTTATACATGTCCGCTTTATATTTTGTATTATTGTAGCAAACGACAAATGCTACGACAATTGATTACGTAATGCAAATTATACGATCCGAATAATGGAAGGTATAATAGAATCAGTGGCTTAATTCGATAAATGAGCTTTCGCTGTTTTTCTTTCTTAGGAGGAAAAAAGGCTTTACCTAAGTCTTTGGTGCATCATCAATCACGTAACTCGATCGCCGAGGATTTTTGGCGCCAGCGGATAGATGAGGTGGATGGATACGATTTTTATAGCGCATCTTGTCATACAGAAGGCATTTTTTGTGATGGCTGTCGATGCGTGAAATAAATCGAATATAGAAGAAGATATCATGAGAGAATTGCCTTGTCAGATCATGACATTGTATCTCGCTTCGACCCTTCGGGCATCTTAAATATAAATAAAGAGAAGGCTGACATAATCGTGCGCCTATTATGTATAATAAATATTGTTGACGACGAAATGTTCGTGAAGACATCAATGTATTTAGCGAAAATATTTTTGTGTGAAACTATTTCGTTGTTTCCGCCAAAAAATGGATTTGTTCCATGTGGGATATTTTATATCGCTGTCGAAGGGATTGAAAATGTAAAAAGCAATATTTTTATGAAATGATACCACGGGCGATATTAGCTTTTTATCAATAATATGAGTGTTGCCAAATAAAATTTTCTATCTACTGTTCAAAAATTTTGGAATTCGTTATAATTTCAATAATAACAAATATTGAGATTTCAATAATAACAAATATTGAGAATAAAATTCTATTCTGTTTAAATTGATAACAGTATAGTGATATAAAATTAAGGGTAACAGTATAGTGATATAAAATTAAGGGACATTGATAATTATCGATAAATTTTTCATTCACAATATAATCTTATCGATTGTAAGAATTTAAAATTAACTATTGACGGAAATTCAAAAAATACAATAACAAAAATAAAATAGACAATAGGAGTCGGTGTAGAAGACGATGCGTACTTATAATTTTAACGACGCGACGGTTATATAAAGGTATAAAGATAAAAAATAGTGATAAACTTCATCGTGACAGTGCGTCACTGTTTTTATCTTTGTAATTTTATATATAATTGTCGTTAAAATTATGTTTATTAAGATAAATACGCATCGTCTTCTGTGTCGATTCCTATTGCTCTTTGTTTTTATTATTAATCTTTGTTAAACTTTTGTTGCATTCACAAATTTTATTTTTTTTATTCTCCTTTTGAATTACGAGATAGTACAGTCATGATGAAGTTTCATACAATATTTCGTATTTGAAACATGTTAAGCTGTGTTGTCACATGTAGTGAAAGCTCGTGACGAACTCAACCAATATTTTCTGAAAAGCCTCCAGGATTTGTGGACGGATCATCTTCGGCTGCTTTATACTCTCGAAAGCAGAAAAGACCGCGTAAGTTCCAAGTAGGAAAGAGGAACGAGTAACAAGGTCAACAATATGACGATCATATTTTACATGTATTTTCAACAATAAATATCACGAAAAATAAAATTATGAAAATTTTTTTATATAAAAAATACGAAAAATAAATAGAGAAAAACTAAATCAATTTTTCATTAGATTTAAAAAAAAGTAAATTTTTTATTAAATTTTTACAATCAGGAAAATTTTTTTTTGGATATTGTTAAAAACAATTTATATAATGAAATATTTATTATATAATTTTTGTTATACGTTTAATACGAATGTTTTCTCAGACCATGTATTGAATTTATAGAGATGTTGAACATAATCCGGTATGGTCTAGTGGCTAGGATACCTGGCTTTCACCCAGGAGGCTCGGGTTCGATTCCCGGTACCGGAATTTTTTTTTATTAAAATTTAGTCCGCACTTTTTTTTCAAATTTATACATTTGTTACTTGATAACAATTAAAACATAGCGCGTATAATAATTATTTATTATTGTATGTACATTAAGAAAAATTTCATATATGCTGAAGAAGAAGGACCCGTGGTCCAAAACGTTCACGTTACGTTGGTATTTAATAAATACAAAGAAATTTAACTATTTATAAGTTTCTTTTTATGCTCGATCATTGATCTTCATAGTACATAATTTGCTTTGCGTAAAACGAACGCCGGTGTGAAGTTAGCACCCCATTTTGAAAAAAATCAATATTTTATACAGTTTGCGCCCACAATAGTTCTATAGTTCCTGCTAAGTTTTAACAATAGTTCCGCTGATTTAGCTAAACAAAAAAAAAATTTTATAAATGGGGTGCCAACTTCGCGTGGCACCCCAAGTATCGCAAAAATTAATTTTTATCACGAAATTCTAAAGTTCTCGAAGAGTTCTACAGTTCCTGACAGGTTTCAGCGACAGTTCCGGCCTCTAAGTATTTTTAAACAATTTTTTAAAGTTATAGAGCCAGCACCCCACCGCAAGAGTAAAGTACTACGCAATAGCCAGTTCCCGCGGGCTTTTTGCTATTTTCCTACAGTTCTACAATAGTTCTAACGCTTTCTCTAGGTTTTGCACAGAGTTCTGGCCTCTACGTATTTTTAAACAATTTTTTAATGTCGGAGCCAGCACCCCACTACAAGAGTAAAGTACCACGTAACAGCATTTTGAAAAAATCGATATTTTATACACTATTGTGGGTGCCAACTTCACACCGGCAAAACGCCGAACTATAATTTATTATTTATTATTTGTATATTAATAATGCGTAAAATATAGTACTAATACTAAATATATTATTAATAATACGTGAAATATAGTAATAACACGTAGTTATTTTTTTCTTTGAAGATATAAAAATTGGAACAATAAATAAATTATGTATATGAAATATTAATTATTAGTGATAATAGTTTATTAGAAACATCTATTTTTATTGTTGCTTGATCTTTCCTCTAAAAATAACGTCTGAATTATATAGAAATATTTCATCATGGATAATGCCGTGGATTATATACAGGGTGTCCCGACCTTTTTTGCTAATCACTTTTGTATAGATAGAGCGGACTAAACTGAATTGAAAAGTTCTCTACCCTTTTGCAATTTTCGCAATAGTTAACAAGATATTAATTACTAAAAATTGCAAAATATTGATCTTAAATAATTTTTTACTCAAATACTGTCAACTTTACAGAAAAACTGCAAGAGACAAAAATGATTTATTTTCTTTTCATAAAGTTCTGAGAATTTTTCAGAATTTTTTGTCAACTTTTTAGTACTGCATTTTCTTATTTTTACCAACATGAGAAAATACGGTATTAAAAAATTCTGAAAAAATTCTCAGAACTTTATGAAAAGAAAATTAATGATTTTTGTTTCTTTTGTAGTTTTTCTGTAAAGTTGATAGTATTTGAGTAAAAAGTTATCCAAGACCAATATTTTGCAATTTTTAGTAATTAATATCTTGTTAACTATTGCGAAAATTGCAAAATGGTAGAGGATTTTTCGACTCAGTTTAGTCCGCTCTATCTACACAAAAGTGATCGGCAAAAAAGGTCGGGACACCCTGTATAATAAAATACATAATTTTTTTTACTTACTTGAAAGAAAAAGATCCTGGAGGGCCTGGGCTGCTTGGCAGAGGAGAGCCCACGTTTCTGCAGCAGCAAGTCCTGTGCCTCGCAGGGTAAGAACATCCCCTGCCACTACTGCGAGTCCTGGGCCCCCGGTCACATCTGTCGGCATTCTATAAGCAAGGAAATATTTTTATCTAGTATCTTATAATTTTCTTTTAATTTAATTTATTGTGTGTACTCGTATGTAGACTACACAAATATTCGATAAAAAATTTAATCGTATATATTTTTATGTGAAATTTTTTAAATAAATAATTAATGATAAATTTTATTTACGTAAAAATATGAAATGGAGATATACGAGATAGAAATTTCAAATACTAGGACGACAATGTTTTGTTTTGTCTTATGGGATGAACATGCGTAGAATCTGGGAAACAACACGATGGCAACGTGTTCCATAGCTCGTATCGCGAATAAACAAATGCAAACAAACCGCGGTGTGCATATTGAAGGTATCGAGCTTGTTGCTTGTTCAGTCCCGTTTATATTAGCTCCTTTATTCGGTGTTACTTTGACGTATCGAATGAAGCGAATGAAGAATTATTTTGTAAAGATTACTCAGGTTTTTTTTATCATACGTCTAAAAGTCTAAATGTGTAAACAGATACGTAGGTGTATGTTTTCATTGCGATGAAAATGTATTACCTATCTATATGATGGAATCTCGTTTATATCAAAATAATATCTTTGTTATCGGCAACTATTGCAGGTATAATTTTGGAGAACTCAATTTATTAAATTAGATAGAAATATACTTTTTACATAATTTTATTTTTTGCATCATATTGCTTTTTCTAATAAATATAAATTTCTATATGTATATTTGTACATTTCAAAGATGATTTCAAAAAAAAGAAAAGAGAAAAATTATTATTACAAAATTCTCGTACAACTATTATTGCGTCATAAAAGTAAAATCATAACATTATGAAAATAAAAAAGAATACTAGTTTGTAGTATTTCGTAAATTATATTTTCTTGGTTAAAATAGCTTTATTTTTTATTTCTCTCTTTCTCATTATTGGAATATAAGAAGAGAGCATCAAGATATATGCGCAGATATACCGTGAAAAACCTCGAGTTTTCTCACGGATTTATTTTTAATCAAATGTATGACGCGATTCTTCTCTATCTTTGGGTTCATATATAAATTATAAATCTAATAACCACGCGAATTTTGACGTCATATGCACATCTCGAGGAACACAATCAACAGATATACCGTCGTCAGAGAAAACAATAGACGTCAGTCCCGTTTTCAACTACGTTCTCCTCCGCGACTGCTCTTTCAAGCAGAGTAATCGCTATCGTTATCTGCCTTTCTCTGTTTCTCGCTCGACCACATTATGGGAAAGGGGACCTGTCTCCTACACATTTGCGCGACGCATAGGTCGTGTTTGGATTGTATCAAAATTTAATCCGCCACCTAATTATTGCGTCAAGCTGTTTAACATGAAAAGCAAATACATTCATATATGTCTATTACATTTCAGTCTCATGAAAATCACAGAGAGCTTCAAAATTTTAGTGATAATATCAAAATTATGTCTATCTGGATATAGTATAATTATGTTATAATGATTAATGAATAATAAAGAGAAGGTGATATTATGGCCAGTGTTATAGATATAATGGCTCCTCTTAATATCTTCAGTATTAGATGGCAAATTTTAATGATTATATAATTATATAATTATTTATTCAGTTACTCGTCGTTATATTATAACGCTAACATGCTAATACATAATAGCCAGCATTTATGTATTATAACGCATGTTTACTTTCAAGCATTACGAAATGTTTTTAAGGACATTTTATAGTGTTTAATTATACACACTTCCTCTTTCTTTTTATATCTGAGTTTATTATCCGAATATACAGTGAGTTCAAAAAGTATTCGTACAAGGACAATTTTTATAAAAAAAAGCTTATTTGTAGAAAATAAACATTAATTAGCAACTTTTATATTTAACTTTCTCGTGAATAGTAATTATCTTTGCTTGCCGTATACTTTCTCCAATCCAATAAAATAACCGTTTGCGTATTATATCGAGAAGTTCGATGAACAGCGAGCACACGCATGAAAGTTTTAGATTATTGGATTTCTCACGAAACTAGATTTCAGATAGTTCAGAGTCGATATATTCGGTCCCGCAGGCGTGTTTCGGTCTCCTGTACTTTCTCACACTTCTAACTTAGTCAGCTGCGATTGTCCTCTCTATTATGCGACAATCACGTCTGCAAGATTTCCGCTCGAAAAGCTGTTCTTCGTTTTTCGTCGTCATTTGAAATCACGCAATATAGCTGCAGCAATTTCAATGAAGTTTTAATCTTCGGAGAAGTTTCGATATATTTTATACTTTACGAATTGGCTAATAACAAAAAGTAATCGAAGCTGTAAACTGTCAAAGTATGTATTAACTGTCGATATAATACTTTACTTTCGCGTGACATGAAGAAAATGTATCCTCGAAGTAAAACATCATCTCTCGCGAATCCTAGTTTTATGAGAAAAACCACGTGAAATTCTTTGACCGTTCTTAATTCGTTCGATTGGTATGACTTTAATTGTAATTTGTTTCGTTGCATGACGGCTGTCAATTTACAACGTATCTGTCTTTATTCGATCGAGCATGAATATTCGTTCCGTACTGACGTGTATTACGTAGTTATCGCCAGCATTTCCCTATTCGGCGTGTGCGCAATACTATACACGCTATTTCAACTATAACGTATGAACTTTATTCCATGAACGAAATTATAAATCAAATATAATCAACATAATGAAGCGAAGAAGGCCATATTCAATCAAGATGGGTTTTGGTGCCTAATAATATTTTTTTGTGCGAATTTTACAATTTTCAGCTTATGTAAACTGATTATTTGTCTAAACATAGTTTCAAAATCGATTAAACTGTAGCTGAATTATGTAATATCAGTTATTAAATTAACAAGCAATTTAATATTAACATCAAACATAATCTTTGAAGTGTAATTTGTCTGTAGTAATTATAATAGACAATAATTAGAGAGATGTATTCTAATTGTACAATTGTCGCGGTTATTTATAGCATCAATGAATACCTCGATTTAGCCTTCCGTTCCAGACGATCCATTTCGCGATTGAGAACCATCTCGTATGTGACATTGGCTTACGCGTCTCTAGATATCTTTCAATCGTTTTTAATCAATGAACCGTCGTGAAATATAGTGACTTGCGCGATGATGAATATCCAGGTTCGTGCATCCTGCAGTTCAAAGTGTTAGATTGCATTGTGATGGAATTTATTGCGGATATTGCCTCGCGCATTCGCGTTGCAACATCAATCATATTTTCACCTTTACTATTACTGGAGGCTTTTAAATTGATATTTCATTATTGCCAATAATGACATGTATTGTTTTAAAATTTTTTTTAGAGTTAATTGGTTTTAATTTAATTTTTATATAGATCTTTATATTGTTTACTCTTTTAACGAGCGTTTTCCATGTTAAAATCGTTTTCTTGATTTATATATTATCTACGACTTATTTGAATGTTGATTTCTTTGGTACTTTATACTCTAGCAAAGCTATTTTTTCCGTGTAATATTCTGATAATTAAATTTAGCATTAAAAATATAATTTAATGCAGAAAAAGAAAAGCGGATGCATATGTTGTTCTTTTTTCGATTAAAATGATCCAAAACTTTGTTTGAAAGCTTTTCTCCATTTTTATCCGTGTCAACACTTGCCGAAAAGTTAGAGCGTCAGTTTGAAACTTTTGTTCTTCATTAATATCGCTGTTTGTGATCCTCTATGGCGTAGTGTATCAAACTTGATTTCTCTCGGCGGCGAGCGCAAAGAAACTTTGTGGAAATATTAATTTTCCGCGACAAATATTCCATTTCGCGAAGCCGGGAGCTGGTTTTCCGCGGAGTCAGCCGGCGCTAAAGGAAAATGTCGAGAGCAATTAACGAGCTAATTCGGATAACGGTGCCGAAGTCTTCGTCGTTGCTCAACGCGTAAAGTGAATTATTAAAGAGAAAGATCAATATTAACTTTAAACTAGGCAAAATATTTTACTAAATACATCAACCAGGAAGGTATGGAGTTTAGAGGAAAGATTATGCAGGGATAGTTATATAAGGAGATAGGCATTTTTCAAATACTTAGTACAGAACGTTATGACATGTGGGGTTAAAATATGGGAATGAGAGAAGAGGGAAAGTCTGGAGAAGATTATGCTGGATTATGTAAGATGGATTTTCGGTATAGATTTCTGCACGCCAATGTATGTGATAATGAGAGAGCTTGCTATGGATAAACTGAGGTTAGGACGAGAAATAAGGGCCATAAGATACGAGAGGAGGATTAAGAAAACAGACGAAGATAGTATATTAAAGTGCTGTTGGAAAGAAAAGGAGGAATACAAGTGGGAGGATTTATAGAGAAAGGGAAGCTTTTGTAAAAAGAATGGATGGGATATCGGAGCAGTGGAATTATTTAATGGGGATAATTACGAGAGTTTAGAAGAAGAAATAATTAAGAGGGAAAGAGATGCTTAATAAGACAATGGGAAGATAGCAAGTTAAGGACAGCGAGATACAATGAAAGGTACAAGAGATTTGATATAGGCAATAAAAGTTCCAAATATGTAAGAAAAGAAAATTTGACTAAGGTAGGAACAGGACAGGATGTCAGGAGGCTAGTAAAACCTTGGTATGGAAATGAGGAAGAAGGAAATAAATACTAGTTAAGTGAGGAGCGGAAGAAATGTAAATTTTATAGTAGATAAGACTGCATGGAATGTTATGTTGATGAGTGTTAGAAGTAAGTAGCTGGTTTAAGGTACTAAGAGGAGACAGAAAGGAAATATGGAGTAGACTTTGGAGCAAGGAACTGGACTAAAAAAATGTGAGGTTCTAAGAAATTTGGAGAAAGAAAAGGAAAAGGAGATTAGGTACGGATAGACGAATGTGGTTAAGTTATATTTGCAAACCAAGTCCCTTCTTGGCAATGTAAGCTGAAGATAAATATTCTATTCTATTCTGCTAAGTAGATCTTTATTTTTATTCGATGTTTTATTAATGGATATTTGTTAATTTTGTCTTAATGTATTTTTGAAACTGATTTTTTTTGTTAAATTTGGAATTTGAAATGTTTTAATGTCAAAGGATAGTTATTGGCTTTTTTATTTTTTTGTGTAGTTTATTGTAAACGTTATATTTATTTTACAAGATTATAATTTTACCAAATATGCTATTTCTATTAAGCACATACAACTTGTTTTATATTATATTCGATCGTTCCAAGTATTAAGTTATTCTCGACATACAATGGGCAAACGCGCAACTATTCATGCAACTCGGTCACCTTTTATGCAACGCCCGAAGCAGAACAGCATTGAATTATGTAATATCCGAATTCAGTCGCACAAGTTGAAAGAGGCAGCCTTGAGTGTTTTTGACAGACTTGATCATCCGATAACTGGTTTCAGCTAATCAGACGTGCATCGAATATTTCATTTGCCGTTACATTTCATTGGTCGGCGTTATTAATTTAATTTTCGTTGTTGCCGTGTGCTGTTCCTAAACCGCCAAATCGTATTTTTCCGATGTCAGCACGGAAACATTTGCAAAAGACAGATAAATGCGCGCGTAATAACCTTGATACATCCGTTACGAGTGATCACGGAGGGTAGGGCGTTTAATTAGCGGACAATCAGTTAGCGACGACCGGAGGCAGCCACCATTCTGATTTCACGCGATTTAATCAGGGCGCCGATCAAACTGCACGGTGTACAATCATGCAGGAAGTCCCAATTCACGTTCGTAATCGAATCAGCGTTGTGCATGCAACTTCGGCGTTTTCAAATCGAGAACGTCAATGGAACAATTTAATCGAGAAGCAGTCAAAAATATGATGCCTGTATAACTGGCAGAGTAATCCAGCCCGTGTGGAGAATCGATTTTCGACAAAACCGAACGGTTCATCGGCTATTCATGAATCGCGCGGAGCGAAATCGATGCTTATGGTGCACCTATCAGCGATGGGACGCTACGCGTGATCTCAATCTGTGTCTGGCTGCGATCGTATGCATTCCTATACCCACCTTACACATTGTCGATCGGTGCGTCATAGCGCGGCGACGTTCGCGCTGTGATGATCTCGTGCGGTGCGAAAGCATGCGCCCGAGTACCCGGCAGGTAGTAAACGAGGCAGGAGACCCCGACGAGGAACAGGAAAAACAGGAACACGAGGTCGAACATCAGCAGAGAGTTCAAGGTCATCAGCTGCATCGTGCGCGTACAACTTGCTCCACCATTACACGCGTGCACCCACGCACCAGCAAACCCGTCGACGTTTGCTGCTACCACCACCACCACCACCACCACCCCACCACCACCACCACCACCTCCACCACCACTACCTTCTTACTTCATCACGCGTCTCGACGTTCGACGTATTCCTGTTTGCACGAGCGAAATTCCTTGCACGAGCGTCGACTTTTGGCGTCTTTGACTATGATAAAAGCGATCTCGCTCAGACTGCGAGCGCGTGGCGATCAGCAATTTTTTATGAGCATTTGTATGAAACTGTATTACGTCATACATAAATTTCGCGAGCTTTGTAAAGTTTATGAAAACATATCATATTTGGAAATTAATACAAAGAAAAAAATGTATAGCTGCGTGAAAAAATTGGCTCGTATTTAAAAGGAAAATATCGGTTTTTGTTTCATTATATTGATGTTGATATTTACGCTGCTAAAATAAAACTCTTTGATGTATAGTGCTTTTTTTTATATACACACCGTAACGGCAAATGTAGCAGAGAGAGAGAGAGAGAGAGAGAGAGAGGGGGGGGGGGGGGAGAGCAATTTAGTTGGTAATTAAAAGTGTACCGAAACAATGAGACGATAAAAGTTGTAGGATGGTTTTTTGTTTCTTTTTTTATGATGGAGAGTTTCGGAAACCTTTTTGAAAATTGACTTGCGGCAATTATGCGACCGACGATGGCGAGAACATGCCGGCACGGTCGTGATAATTGAATTTCTCACAAATTATTATCGAAAGTTATCAAAGGCAGCGGCGCCAGAATTGTCGGGTCGCGCGTACTCCCGTCGATAGGAATGTACGTGGCGATATCAACGATTATAGATAGTACTTTCGTACTGAAATGAACGCGGAATAATTAGCCTCATTATCGATTCCATTTATCTACGCGCATTCCGCCACTCACACAGCGATCTGCGTCATTTCAGTGGAATTACCATTGATTCCTTTGATTCATGTGGAATCCGCGTGCAATCTGTTTCATTCCGCACAAGTCTCGACGGCAATCATAATCAATGATAATTTAATAAAGATGAGTTGTAAAAACTTGTTAAATACATTATAGCTTTTTTTGGTTTTCCTTTATTTATCAATGATTTCATTATAATAACATTTATAAAATAAATGTGTTATTATAATAAAATGTCTTTGATCCGAATGTTGACATTTCTTTCTTTTTAATGGGACACAACTTTTTAATGGGATAATTAAACCTTCTTTCTGTACTCAGACAAAAACATATATCGTGATAGCAATTATAAAGGTGCCAACAATACAAGTTTTATATGCAGAATTAATGTACACACATAGTTGAATATGTTTTACAGTTATTACAACTATAAAATAGAGTTTATTCAATTATATATATGCGTACAGTAATTACATATATATTGCTCTCTTACTTCAAAAGTGACAATTATAAAAATATGGTTCCAAATTATCAAAAGTGAATTAACTTAACCGCATAAAAAATCATCAAAATCATCATAACTAAAAATTTTTTAATTTTCATAATTTAAAAAGAATTTTTTTTATAAACAGAAAGAGAGATTTTTTAGTTGTTTTGACAGAAGAGAACTTTTTGTCACCTTTGTAGTTGCTATTACTATTTCTTTCTCTAAGCGTGCAATTCCATTAACTGGATTTATTCGAACGGAATTTAACACTTTCATCTAACGCACCATCGATTTTATTTTAACCTCTGTTCATTGATTAGATACTCGACTGTGAAGATATGAGTTCTACCTCGAAATAATTGCCACTAGATCCTCTCGAGGAAGGGCAAATCGAAAACAGCGCTCGAAAATCAGTTAAACGTATATCTGAAAGAGACAGAAGAATCGGCGACCTTCCTAAACACAATAGCCACGAGCTATTGGTCGCAGCGTTAGCAATACGGCGGAAAAAGGAACGGTTTAAGCACAGAAGACGCGTGACACAAGCAGACCGATCGATTGACGAATCGCAATTCTGCGCTCGAAGCATAATCCACATCGAGAAGATAGGTACTTAGAAATCATGGAGTGTACTTTACGGAACAAAACGCAGAATAAGCCAACATTACTAGTATTCAACAAGATTTGCGAAGAAGTTATATCGTATACATTTTATATAAATAATGAAATAGAGGATATATTTTAATTTATTATTTTTTTCATCTGCGAGATTTTTCATCTGAGAAGATTATTTTTTGAATTGAATTTAGGTCTTTTTTTTTATTGAAAAACCATCCACGGATAAAAGATTACCCGCATCGGAGTATCTGCACGTACGCGGCCGAGTGATTTTCCAGTTACGCAAATTTTCCAGTATCCGCCGGTCCATTCAGTCGGTCTCGCCAACGCGACGTGTCGACTACCGGCGGAAATTTACGGGATGACATAATTTCCGTGCGGCCTGGTGCTCGCCCAAAAAGGCGAGCCCCATCTTTGTGTCAGTCGCCCGTCCGATCGCTGAATATCCGAGAAAATTCATAAATCATCGATTGCGGAAATGTGAAGGTCATAGATCGATATGGCAAGCTATTTCGAATCCTCTATCTTCAATACTATATTTTTCACGTTGTATTGTTATCGCTCGTCGCGAATTTTCACAAATCAGAAATATTTGCCTATTACGTTATGTATCTTGATACGCTTCAGGAAATAAATTTGCACAATTTTTATTTTTATTTCAATTATTATAGCTATACATCAATATAACCAAACATTAATTGCCTTGATTCTTTTTGCTTTTAATTTGCTTTTAATTTTTTTTGCAACGGATTTGTTACCGATTGTTAAGGATTTTCATGTAACAGAAATGTTTGCGGAAAAGAATCTCGGAACTCACAAACGAGTTTATGAAAATTGTCTTTTTTTAATGTTTTCTTTGTTACTATAATTAAATCTGTCTAGTTTTAAGTCTTTAGGTACCTTTAAACAATGTAATATCTCTCGTAATTTACAAAATGGAAAAGTAGCAATCGAGTCGCACTTCAAAGCGGCTCAGAAGTACTATTAAGTAAGGACGGTAGTCAGGGACAGGCATAAAGGGGAACAGAAAATAAATCTACCTCTCTTTGCCAATACGACAGTCTGCGAGGAAATAAAAGAAGTAATAAAATTATTCCATCAGTGGATTTAACTTTTCTCCAGGACTTAATCCGCGTAGATCAGACGGAGCATTCTTAATTTGAACTTCTTTCCAAGAGGAACAGTAGCTTTCGTCTTTCTGTGCTATTGTTCAGCAAAAATCCGAAGTTTTCCTCCTCACGAAGAATTGTGATATCGGTATTGCGTTTGAACGATAAACATAAGAAGCGAAAACGGGAAATGTCATGTGCGTTCGCCAGCTGTTGCGTGTTTTAAAGCTCTAAAGCGTGACGCGCGTGTTTCACGGTGTGACACGTGCCCCGTTGCATAGCATCTCGATAAATGGGCCACTGCTATGCGACAGGATAGATTGCATCATGATACTCGAAAATGATGGTCCTTGTCCGCTATGTCAGCCTATCAATTTCCTTGTTTACGGAAAAGGAAAACAGAATGGTTAATTCTAGAACTATCGGTCATGAAAAGACATACCTTCTCTCAAAGCTTTCCTAAATTATTTTTCCAAGTTATTAAGGAAACTTTTGAATTTCTGTTATTACTCTTTAAAATATAAAATTTAAATTCTCTAAAATATAACATATAATAATCACGTTTAAAAAGAAAATATATACATATATAATATTATGAAAAACGATTGCATTATTACAGACTGCTATGTCGAAGGTATATAACGGTTTTTGTATACTTCTTTAGATTATTTTTAGTACAAAAATAAATAAATAGCGTAGATGATTTATTATGATAAATTTTACTGCGCGATATACTGTTGTGATAACTCGCATTAAGATGTCAGTCTACTGAATTTAACGTATTCATTGGATGATTAATACATCGCAATGACACGTAGAATACCGCTACTGGACAATTATGCTTGATCGAGTGCAGAAATAAAATCTTATCGTTTCTTAATGTTGATTTTTACATCGGAGACGTTTATACGAGGACCGTACATGTCGGACATAAATGTACTTAACGAAAAGAGAAAGTCATTCGTGTAAATATAAGTGCAGTTCTATAACGGCGTTCATTTGAAGCTAAACCGGAAACCTCTTTTATTTCTATTGGAATTTATTTAATGTACCGAGAAAGTGGATTAATTTTCTCAGTAATAATAATGTGATCTTAAATGCATTTTCTTCACCGGCGCGAATTCTCGCAAGTTCAACACAATGTTCCAATAGTTTCTCTCCTTCTCGCCTTTCGCGATGGGAATATTTCGAACCGATAGAATCCCAGTGGGATTTATGCTAATTTCAAGATCAGGTACAGCATAGATTGCGTGGTAAATGACGTGTGAAAGGACTAGATAGAAAACGTTGTAATGTACGATATTGAGTTTTGCAGCAAACGTGGCTTTAAAGCGCGCGAAAATAGGACGAATAACAGCGACCGATGATACCTGATGAAAAGGTCCCCGGCGGCATCCTCCTTTTTTCCTTTTTCCCTACTTTTCCTACTTCTCGAAGAAATTCGCTGGATATCGAACAAAGGTGGAGTGACGAAGGATGAGTACAGAATGGTTTACGTCGCTACTGAGTAGTTGCGACAGATATAGACCACGAGATAAACGACGTATTACCGGTATAAAGCAACTTCCTCGACGCACGGCGACAGCTATACCTGTCAGCGTGATGTACCACTGCACTCGTATCTTTCCCATAGCCTCTTTTCTCGAATCCAATTCAACGAATCTGTGGAGTAGGTACGTGCGTTACACAAAGCATGGGATATGCGCTAGAACGTGTATACGTGGAATACGATGAGATCGCGCCAATATCGAAACGTGAAAATACGACTGAAATCTCAGAAAAAAGAGCAAAAGCAGAAAAAGAATGAATTGACTTTAAAG